AGTCCACCCCTGGCTGTGCACTCACAGAGGGATGACTCTGGGCTTGGAGTGGTGATTAAATCTTTGCCATGCTCTGGATCCTTGGGGTGGTAACAGTGGGTCCATAGTAAGCTGCTGGGGGGACAGTCAGCTCCCAAGACAGAGGACTGGTGACACCAAGGCATCCTTGGCCAGGCATCTGGATTTTGATTAGTGCTGACTCCAGCTACGTAGCACTCTGATGGGAAGCAGATGGCTCTTGGGCTTTGCTTTTCCTGCTGTTCTATGCATATAGACGAGCATGGCCACATCATCACAGGGAGAGAGGCCAGAAGGGGTGGGAGGGGACTCAGAAAGGATATGAGGGAGCAACACATTTCCCAGATCATTAATCTGCTATTTGTGGCCAGGATGATATTGGCTTGAGATGAAGGACTGCCAGAGATGGCAGCAGAAATCTGGGACTGCAGATGTTCTCCCTCCTTCAGGTGACTGCTCAGCAGCACAGAGCTAATGGCAGAGAACAGGGACATCAGAAGCAGCGTGTGCCTCCTGAATTTCTGCTAGCTGACCGTACTGTTCTGCACAGATATAAAGCAAGGCATTGACGGTTCAACTCTGGTTGAATTTCCTTAACTTCAGGAGGAATTGTGATGGAACAAAGGCTTCCCAGTTTTGACAGAAGAGTATCTGAATTCCTTTTAATGGCAGTTCTAATTTTGATACTCCTTAGCATGGGGAAAGCCTTTTGGTTAGCTCTGCCTGTGTCCCTGATAGGATGTGTTGGAGTTAAGAGTGAAAAATGGATTGTGATAGTGTTAACAGAAAATCAGGCTTTGAGTGAGGTAGATCAAATTGCTCACTTGCAGCTATGTCCATCACAGCCCCAAATATGGCTCCTTCTTGCTGGATATATCCTGTACTATGGAGCCTGGCAGCTCTCTCGTTGTACATCTGGTTCGGCAGTGCTTGTGTTCTTTCCTTGCCCAGCACCTAGCTGGGAGCACCCAGCTCTGCAGTTCATTGTGGTTCGTCCTTTGATCCCCTGTGGCCATGCTGAGTGGGGATCTGAGCGCTTCAGTGTTTGCCCCCAGGCAGCAAAACATCTTGGGTTTAGCAAACTGAAGGCAAGCCTGGTGTCGGTTTACCTGGCAGCATTTCCAATTAAAGTGGACCTCTCCAGGCTGTTAGGGACACTGGGAGTTGCCACCAGCTGCACCAGTGCTACCCTGGTGAAGGTGGATAAATGCTGCTTTTCTCCTTCCCCTCCCGGTGCTCTGGTGCTGTAGGCTCTGATGCTTTGCTTTACTCATAGCTGTGATCAGTGATGTCTCTAGGGCTTGTAAGGGGGGCTGCTGGTGGCTGTGTCCCCGTGACCGATCCCATGCTCCTCTGATGGTTGAGGAGAATGGAAGAGAAGAAACATGTCACCAGTCAGCCTCTAAAAATAAATTCTTCAAAACATTCACTGAACCGAGCAATTGCCGATAGCTTTGTTTCGCATCAAAGGAACTATTATATTTATTTTTCAAGCGTCCCTAGTAGGAAAGCTGCTCCTCTCCTGGATTTCAGCAGGCAGCAGTGGGTCAAACTGAGAAATGGAAACACTGTGTTTTCAAAACATTTCAAACTAAGTAGTTTATACTTTTTCCTCAGATAGCCCAAACCACTCAGAAGAGTCTGTATGCAGTTGTGAAAAGTTTGGGTACACCACAAACTGCGATTTCCTCCTGGACTCTGAGTGCTGGGAAGTGACAAGCTCAGGGTGCTCAGTGAAGCAGGAAAGTGTTCTTTTCCCTGGGTCTATGATAGATGATGAGCAGTGCAGCAGCTAATGGAGAGCTGATGCTATCATCATGCTCAGGTTCTGAGGCTGCAAGGTTGCGTTGCTGCAGAGATATTGGTTCAGTCCCCTTGGAAAGCTGCAGTTCTGTTAGTATGGGCATTATTGGATGAGAAGGAGAATTAACTGTCCAGTTCTTGAAGTGCTGTCACACTGAAATTGCTGTTTCCACTAGAGGTTTCACTGCATTGCTGTAGGGCTGCAGTTTCTGTAACAGAGGTGCTGGAGTCTGCCTGGCTGGTCAACAGCAGACACAGCTTTGAGTCATTTCACTGAGCTGCACTGTACCTTGTGCCATGCCAGCAGCTTCTGCTGGGTACCACTTTTGGGATGCATGCTTCAATGTGAGCAAATGCTGATATGCTGCTCCAGAATCCCCTTCTGCACACACAAGGCTTGCCTATGGCTAGCAATGCTCTCTTTGTGATGTGGCCATGATGAATGAGCAGTGAGTACCCAAGGTGGGGACTGTGGCCATGTCTCCAGCCTTGACTTGGGACTTTGTGCCAGATCTGTGATTGTGGCACTGTGTCTTCTCAAGGTGTGCAGCTCTCTCATTTCTCGAGCCCTCTTCCTGCCTTTCTGTAGTTATCTCCAATTTCTACTGATTGCTTTCTGGGTACATTTTGTGAGATAAAAGAGATGTCTGCTCAAACAGAAGAGCTAAACCCAACTGTGCTCTCTGTTGTTCTCGCTGGTGACATTTAGTAAGTCTGCAGCAAAGTGCCAAGTTTCAGAGAACTGCAGCAGTGTTGGTCACTCTTCTTGTTCACAGTTGTTCCAGAGTAGAAATAAGACCTGAAGTAAATAATCTAATTAAGAAAATACCTATTAAAAGGCTGTGTGAATGTGGCACCTGCAATATTACACATGCCCTAAGTCCCATGAGTGGGCCCCAGTGTGTCCAGGCACTGTGCTGACATTTTTCTGTGACGCTTTTCCATTGGGAGTTTTGCAGCCCCGGTTGCTCCCTCCTGCCCCAGCTGGATATGGTGTGAGATGGTTGTGCCAAGAAGCATATGCATTTAGTTGGCGTGGTGATGGTTGGTGTAGGTGATTTTAGTGACCTTTTCCAATGTGGTGGGTTTGTGTGAATACTCAAGCTCACTCCTAGAGCTGTGTGTGGATAGGGGATGTTTCTCATTCATTTGTGCTGCCTACAGGAATATCAGTTTTGCTCAAAATGATATTGAAGTGGTGGTAGAGAAAAAGAGCAGCACATCTCCACCAAAGCACTCCTCTTTCGGGCAGCAGGAACTGTCAACATTGTGTTTGCAGTGCTAACGCTTCTGTGGGGGTTAACTGTGCCAGGCAGTTAATTCCCTTTAAAATTACTGTTTTACCTCACTCCATCCAATTACTCAAGTTATTTTGCTATCGCACGGATCTCTCTGTTAATGTCAACAAAATGATTACAGAAAGCAGCAGCATCAAGGTGCATCACCCACAGGGAGCACTGACAGCAAGAGCAGCGTGCAGTGTGTTTGAGGAGTTCCATCAGCACCAAACAGCACTGATGTGGGCAGCCTGGTTGTCATGCGTGGTCCTGGGGTGATGTTGGATTTGTGAGCTGAGATTGGCAGTGTGGCTCTCCCTTTGGCATGGATGGTAGCAGGGGGCTGAATGGGGGACAGTTGAGCACCAGCACGGGGCAAACCCCTCTGCTTGAAGGGAAAGCAATGTTGTAAAGGAAGAAAACTAGGAACCATGTGTCTGTATGGGTCCTGAATTTGTCCCAAAAGGGACAGCTTTGGCTGAGGACAAAGTGAAGTTTTTTGCTCAACAAAGACTTTGCCACACCGGTCCTGCTAATGGTGGGAGTGCCCAGATCTGCTGTGATCCATGTGAATTGCACAGATTGATCCAGAAAATATTCTACACAGAAACCTTCATGAATTCCCTGTTGCATCAGCACTCCTGATTTCTTAGCAGCAGGAGCTATAAAGGAAAGTCTAATGAAACAAGCCAAATCTGAATGCAGAAGATATTGAAATCTGGAAGATTTAATTTAATATTTTTATTACATATCTTTGGAACCCTGATTATCCCCCCGCCCTTCAGGCATTTATTTACCTAAGGAAAATTATACTACTGATTACAAGATTGCAGCTCCATTTTCACTGCTTAGAACTCTTTTTTTTTTTTTTTTTTTAACAGCTCATGTTACACTTGCATGACTTGTAAAGTTTCATAACATCTTGAAATTTTTAATGCTATGTTGCAGAAAGGTACTTAGATAGAGATGAAGGAGGCAGAAGATTTGCTTTGCAGTCTTTTTGAGGGGAAAAATGTTAGTTTCTTGGCTTGGAAAGGCCTGTGAATGATTCCTTTAAATCTGGGCAGCGAGTTCACACCCTGCATTGTCCTTCAGACTAAGTGCAAAGTGAGAAATGATGAGAGGTAACCTTAAACACAGAGTAAAAAGGAATGTTTTCTATGTGGGGAATAAGAATAAATTATGCAGAAATCATGACTATAGTGTGTGTGTTTGTGTGTATGAAATCAGACCTGCTATATTCCTGTGGTAAATAAATGACAGATAGGGCAACATATTAGAAAAAAAACATGAGTATTTCCAATAAATCCTTGCACCTGGGCATTTTAAATCAGAATTCACTTCAGCCAGAACTGCACACTGAGTTGAGGTCAGGAGAGATTTCCAGAAGTATTATGATTATTACCTAACAACTCAGTTAATAAGAGCTGTGGAATTGGATTAGATTTTTGTCATTTTGGATGTTACAACAATAGGGACCTTTGCCTGACACAACATCATGAATATTGGATGGGATCCTGCAGTGCTGCTCCTCCACGTTATGATATTATCCAAGGCTGAAGGTTATGAATACATGAGTTATGCTGTTCACTTCTCAGTTGGTAAAAACAAAAAAGCCACCACCCCATAATCAAGTTCTGATACACAACTAGATATAATATAGCTTTTCTTTATATATATATATATATATATCTGTATATATATCAAGTAAAAAAATCTAAAATAGTTGGAAGTAAAAAATGAAAAAATAGCTGATTGTGTTACTTTTTCTTTACAGTGATATGGTAGCAAATACACGACAAATGAGTAATAAACCTTTACATAAGGTGTTCTGGTCCCGTCTCCATCAGCAGGGCTCAGACTGAAGTACAAAATGGAACAAGGTGATTTTTGTTGGTTTTCTTTTTTTTTTTTTTTTTGGCTACAGCTTCTGCAGATGACAAAGATGCTGTTGGTAAGACAGAAGGAAAATACAGCATAAAATAAATAAAACTCCAAAGTGTTTTGCAAAAGACTGTACATACCACTGGGTAAAATTTACTTCTGAACTGGGGGAGCTAACACATAGCATCACCAAGTCCTACTTAGGCAGAAAATACTCATATTTATCTTGGCCTCACAGTAGTCCGTATGGTGCCGCCTGCTCATAGAAAAACCTCTGTTTTGTTTCCCTACTTTTTTCCTCTGCAACCAATAATAAAAAGGCAAAACCAGAAATCCACTGGCAGGGCTGAGCCAGAGGTGAGACCTCAGTGATACACAAGTCATTTGCTGCCTTTTATCCAGGTGTGAATTTCCCCAGAATCCTTTACATTGAGAAAGTCAATTGACCGAGCTTGGCAAATGGTCACACTGAGCCCAATTCTGGCTGTAGAAAAGAAAGAAGTACAAGTCTCAGCATCAAACAAGATCGTCAACACAAACAATAATTTTTTCGGTTGTCTGCATAATAATAACATCATGTTTGCATATAGAACAGCTTTTGCATTATTGCTCTACTTATAAGAATATAGTAAGGAACTTATAACAGACTTGCACATTACAAACTTAAGGTTCTTTGGTGAAGAATGAGAAAACAGTATTTTATCTGTTATTAACTCTTGGAGGAGTTTTCGTTCTTATCTGTTGATCCTTTGGATTCTCTCGCAGAGGAGAGAAAGGTATTGAGTCAGCTTTACCATTGCAACGATGGCAACGCCGCCGATCATCATGCATGTGGGCCAGAAGAGCGAGTGGAACAGCACGTTGGAGCTGTACAGTTTGGTCAGTATCACGTTCTTCTGAGTGCCCTCAGGATCATAGAAGCAGGAGAAGCGTTGATACTTCCGGAAGTTTTCCATCACAACGTTCACCATTGACATGGATTCCTCATAATTCTTGCCGCACTTGGGTATGTACGAACACTGGGGAGAAATCAGAGGGAGAAAAATGCAACTCCAAACCAGATACCATGTCTGTTTTCAGGTGGCAAGCAGGAAAATCTCAAGATGATTATGCTTTTCATAATAACAGCGCAATACTATTAAGCTAATAATAAATTTATCTCAGACAAAACTCAATATTTTGTACATCTACAGAATTTCCCATTGGAGAGCCTACAAGTGCTGTACAAATATTAATGCTTTAATTTGCACAGCAGCCTCGTGAGATAGGTGAATACATTATTATTGCTAATTTACACATGCAAAAATGAAACTGATTGAAGCACCTCTTCATCTTAAGTGGCATACATACTCTTGCAGCAAGATGGGTAATTGACTTCCTGTAAATACATATCTGGCAGCTCAGATCTGGCTTGTATGGGATCAAAATGATCTCAGTAGTCATGGGTGTTCACTCACAGAAGGAAAGGCCAACAAGAAAACTTAATACAAATCTTCCATCGGGGCAATGCCTCAATTAAGGACAAATAGAATGTCAAAGAGAAAAGGCAGATTTTCCTAGTGACTTCACCTCTTGCTGGGGCTCAACCCTGGCTCTTGGGCTGTTTTTTAACTTGCTCTTGAGTCCTGCCACACTCCCCTGCTTGCACTGCTGATCTTCCTTGTAGAGGGTGATAGTTAAATTTAGGTAACTTAACGACAGCAAGAGAGTTTTTCAAAGGAAAAGAGATATCTTTATTAAATTAATGCAACGCATAGCTTTTTATTATTATTATTTTAAGTTATAAACGTTATAAATGTCCCTCTGTTCTTTTTCATGGCTACACTGTGACTTTTCATAACGTACTGAGACGAATCTCTAGTTTTAATAATGATTCAAGGATTAACCTCATAACAGGATTTGATTGATTCATTGGCAAGTTTATTAGCCCAGAATGTGATTTGAAGCACGGCAGGAAGATTGTCTGGAGTTAGCCGACTGCAGCATTAAGGGTAGAGCATGTTGGCCTGCCATAATGAATATTTCATAGAGCTCTAGAAATTAAAGATGGAAAATATCAGGGCAGTAGTATCTCATCCATCTTCCTGCTGGTGCAGGGCTGCTCCCCCCAGGATATTCTCTTGCACTCTGCCCAGCTTTGTCTTAAATGTCCAAAGCCGCAAGCCCTCTTCCAGTGTCTGTGACTCCTTAATAGATCATAATCTAGTCAGTACGGGAAAATTGTCAGTGAAGCTGTACCTAATTTTCTCTTACTGAATCATGCTATCATGGTCCTAACAGCAATATTTCCAGCTCTAATGCTTGGTTGGCTTTTTTTTTTAATTGCAGGTTTGGTGTCAGATTTTTTTGTTCCTTGAAGTCGCAGCTGCCGCTGTCCTGAGAGAGGAGACTGAATGAGGACTTGGCTGCTGTTGCACAGTCCTCTCCCCTTGACAGAAAACAGCAGACATGTAAAAGCCCCAGTGATGACAGATTCCTGGAATCAGAGTCTACAGAATTGTCCCCAGAGTGCAGTGGGGAGGTTCTGCAGATCCTGACTTCCTGCAGGCTTGAGTATTCTGCAAGCACTTTTGAAGCAGACCTGATGCAGAAGCAGAACTCGAGCTGTTGCCTCCTACACGGAGCTACCAGCCGTGTCGGGCTGGCTGGGCTGCCTGAGCCAACCGGGTTTGAAGTGGTGAAGCCATGGAAGGCAGTCATGCAAGGAAGCTTGATATGCTTTGCATCACAGCCAGGCTCCTTGTGCCAAAATCATCTCTTCTCATGCTTCAAGATAACGGGTGCCCTTCGCTCCATGTGCTAATGTCCTTGTTTCAGTTCTGAGCATTGCGTAGGTGATGGGCAGGCAGGCAGATGCTGATAATGGGATGCTTGCAGTGTTTTCTTTGGTTTGATTGTCATTTAGTTTTCTCAAGTGCTTGGCAGGGAATTTTATATCTGCCATTCTTATGCTGTGTCTATGAATGTAAACTACTAAAGCTGCGCTGCTTTATTACAATTCTGCATTGCCAAACACCTGGAGGTCCACAAGTATAGAAGTAAGCTTTGTCTGGACCTCTGTCTCAAGTAAGAATTCTGTGACAAAACATGGAAAAAGTGGCTCTTGTGTTACTAGTGATCCGATCACAAAGAGCACATGCTAGGTAGTTAAAAAGAGAACTTGTTAGATTTCCAGCCCTAACTTTCTAATTTAAAGGGCTGGGCAGTTTGTACAGGCTATCTGCCTCTCCACTTGTCCAACCCAAAGCCCTGCTCAGTGAAGGGTCACTTGGCGAGTCAAGCTGTGAGTATCTCCATGGATGGAGACTGCACAACAACTCTGGGCAAGCACGTCACTGGTTCTGATGATCAAATCTGCTTGCTTACCTCATACCTTTATATCACCACGGATATAAACCAGTGGTGACATGAAAGGAATCAAGATGATGTAGTATGGAATGGAATTGGGGCTTTTGGAACTGCTCTAAGCTGCTCAGTCCTTCCTTGGCATGGCAGATGGATCTGGGTGCAGGGTATGCTGCCCAGTGTACCTCCCCTGTCAACTCTTATAGTGTATGGCAACCAAGTAAGAAAAGTATAGCTGTGAAGGTATTTAAGCTGCCATGATTGCAGTATTGGCAAGGGGCTGGTCTTGCCTTAAGGCTAGAGATAAAGTACAGACAGTAAGAGCAATGACAAGCCATGAAAAACTGTGGATGCTTTTCTGGGATAGGCTTGAGCAGCTCAGCTGGCATCCATTTACTTCCCATTGAGACTGGCAGCGGCACGCCGTATGTCTCAATATGAATGGCACCTGTTTCTCACCACGCCATGTGGGACAGCAGCTCCGTTAGGTAGCAAGTCTCCTAGATTAATCATTATTTAAAATCAAAGTGCATTCTGCTCATTTTGCTGCTGGCAAGAGGGGAGAGATGGGCTGCAGGTGCTGCTTGGCATGCGTGGCGGTGCTCAGCGAGGCAGGGGGACCTCTTGGAGGTCGTGTGTGCTGGTGTATAACACGTCTGCGCATCTTCATCTGTGTCGGGGCTCAGTGAGCCAGGGCAGACTTCCCTCTGGCTTGTTTAGCAAGGAGGAAGATAGAGAATGCAGACTTGCAAGGTAGGGGTGGGTAGAGATAGAGGGGAAAATAATAAAAATGGTCCAGTGGCTGCTTAGGGTGAAGAGCTTGCTGGGATGTGGATGTAGGGGTTGGGGTTTGCTGGGAAAGTGTGATGAAACAGGAGAAAGTGGTGAGTACTGAGCATGGGTTGAGCAGGTGTGGGGGTTTTTGGCATTTCCTCTGCCTTTTGGGAAAATACTTCACTTTCTAGTCCACAGCCATGCGTTGTGCTAAAGCTGTGATAATCCTTGGGACTGAAATGGGACATCCTTCTCCTAATCCCCCAAGATCTGCAGTAGGAATTGTCCCAGTGCTTCTGTCACGTAATGCAGATCTTAGAAAACATTTAGGAGAAGGTGGTCCCTACAGAAATGGGCTGCGCTGGCCTGAAGCCTGGAGGCTCTGCTGATCCCAGCCAGGTATTTTACAGACATGGCGAGCATCCATTAAAAACTGTGTTTGGATTCAGGTCACATAGCCAGCAGTACATGAGGAAAACCTAGGAATCCTCTTGAGAGCAGAGCTTAACCTGTAAAACAACCTTGGGCTGGAGGAGTATTAACTGTGCCCACATTAAATTAAGAGGTGGAGGTGTTTGGGAGAATTTCAAAATCTGTTTTCATCGAACAAAAATCAGTAGCAGAATGTGGAGATTTATGCTAAAACTCCTGATTTACTCGAATCCAGTAGAGTGCGGAAGCTGATCTGATCTGTTTTAATCAAATCACTGGATTATACTTCTGTCCCAGCAGAGAGTCAGATCTGCCCTGGCTTGGGGTGATGGGAAATGGGCTGCAGGTGCCTCTTCTCTGCACTGTTGGGGTGGAATGGGGACACTGCTGTATTTCACACCTCAACTCCAAAGGACTTTGTTTCTCAGCCACAGGAGCTAATTATCCAGCAGAATAACCAGCCCTGTGCAACCACTCGGTGCTTTGACTCATTTTAATATCACTTCATCTTAATATACAGAAGTAATTTGGTCTCCTGAACTGCTGCCATAAATAGAAATACAATAGGTTACGCTGTCAGCTGCTCAAACATGGGCTCTGCCATTGCGGACTGCAGCACGCCTGTAGTTTGGGGTTCAGTGACCTTGGATAACTAAGAAGTTAAAGCCTCGTGTTTGAGCTGCATCCCATCTTGCTGCAGCCTGTGGTCTTTGGCACCCAGTGCTGGCTATGCGCAGAAGGGGAGATGAGAGAGGGATACGTCAGAGCCCCATACGCAGCATCGCAGAGGCGGCTAGCAGCCACCTGTGAGCAGGCGCTGCTCGGAGCGGTGCTGCCTGCGTGCCGTCTGTGCGCCTGCTGCCTGCGTGCCCACTGCCTGCATCACAGCCTCCAGGCAGGAGCTGTCTCTGTCCCACCTGGACTGAGTCGTGCTGGGTGCTGGGTGTCACACTTGCTGAAGCAAAGGGGAGTTCTTCTGTTTTTCTGCTTTCAAAGTATGGAATTGGGGAAATGATGTGAGAAAATGGGCTGGCGTCTTAGTCTGCCTTTTATGTTTTTTTTATCTCCATCTTTCGTCTTGACAGTCTCTTTTCTGTAAACCTTCAGCATCTTTGCACCATCTGTGACCCCAGCACTGGGAGGGGAATGGGAGGAGGCTCCAGCCCTAGTGCTGTGATACTGCAGAATGTGCTGTCTGTGTGGGGTGGAGGAGAATGTCCCCCTTCAGAGATGAAAGCTCTGTCTGGGCACTGCTCTCTGCTCTGCATTTACCAGGGAAGTAGGAGCTGCAAGCCTTATATCACGTTTAAACAGGGAATAGCTATAACACAGTGAGCAGCCCTCCAGAAATCCATTTAGGAAGAAATTTCATTCCGTGCTCCTACCTCAGAATTAATTTTCATTGTTTCTTCGGTGTGGTAGAGCAGAAGCTTCTGGCCAGAAGAAGTGAGATTGACGTACACCTGCAGGCAGGGGTACTGAGAGATTTTCCAGCAGTCTGGGCCGCAGCTAAACGAGCAGTTGAAGGTTTCTGTGATGGATGCGTTGAGAAGCGAGCACTGAGCTTCTTCTGTCCAGACGCTAAAGCAGAAAAAAGGAGATGTCAGAGCATGGCTAGAATGGGTGATAAGCAATGACTGCAGTTCAGAATTTCCATCAGGGATATATGAGGGGAATCTTGAAGGGCTTTGAGCCAGGACTGGACTTTCTCATGTTATTCTGCAGTGCCTAATGTTTGGGGAGATATATTCGCTAATTTCTGTGTGTAGATGAAAAGGGAACTGGGTCTCAGTCCGAAGAAGGGTCTATCAAGATCAAAAGGGATCAGCAGAGAAGGGTACGGAGCAGCATGCTCCAGGGAGAGCATATATCACGTGGGACTGTGATGGGATGCCATGAGCTGAGCCTCAAGCATTAACCATGGCATCCAGCTCAGCTTAAGAAGGACAACCTCTCATTGCTGGAGTATGGGCATTCGCAAGCAGAAACCTGCAGAAACTTTTCTTTTTCTCACTTTTACCTTTGACTGCTGCTTTATTCACAAGTGGGGGTAATAATGTAACACCTACCCATGGGAGACTTGTGAAGTTGGAATATTTGATACATCATAGGTGCTTCAGGCATTTTTTTCACATAGTTTTTTATATAAATCAGCTTTCCACATGAGCAATTTTGACCTTAGCAGCCTCTGCAATTGACCCTGATACTGCTGAAAGGTCTGGGAGGGCAGTTTGGAAATGCAAATGTTCTGAGATACTTAAAAGGCCTTGATCCCAGGCTCCAAAAATCTAAACTTTGCTTGGATTTAAGAAGGGATAAATACTTTTATTGCACAAATAAGATGCTGGCTGGCATTCAGTTCATCCTCATGTGTAATGGTTCTTTTTCCTTATCATGGCAGGGTCGAGGAATGATTTTCAACGGTTGCAGTGATATTATTGAGGATATTAATACCAGTTAACTTCAGGCACTTATTGTGAATATCTTAATACAGACCCTGTGGTTGATAAGCCAATGCGTGCCAAGTTTTGGGCAGTATGTCAGTTGGGGCATGCAGACCACCATTTTGATCCACAATTACACATTTTTCATCCCCCTAACTTTGCTGATTGGGGTGGAAAAAACATTGTTGATGGTTTTATTTCTGTCTGGGATGGATTTTAAATAGGGCTGGTGCTTGAAATCTGCTTTCAAATACCGCTAATGAATCACAGGCCCAAATTTCTGCTCTGTAGCAGAGAAAGAAGCCAGAGAAGGCCTTGGAAAAATTAAGTACAATGCAATAAAGATGAAAGATGATACTTCACTTTCACAAATTGCTGTGTTTTGGGAGGATTTCACTTGTTAAACGTGGAAGCGGTAACCCACATGGAAAACAACATGTTCCAAAGCAGCTGGATTTCTTTCCAAATTAATTCTCCATTTTTCATTTGAAAGTGCATTGTTTCTCGAGGCTGCTAAATACTTTTGCTCTCTCCGGAGTTTGCCTGGGCTTTGTAGCAAAGCACTGGGGGGCTGACGGGTTTCAGCAGGCAGCAGAACAGCTGATGTGGATATTATGGCCCTGTTAAACTGTGGCAAGGCTAAAGCCTATGGATCAGATTTCGTCAAACAGGGATCTAATTTTTCCCTCGCTTATGCCTGCATTGCTCAGCTTGCTTTCACTGTCATTATGCCTAAATCATTTTACGAAAAGGAAATGCAGAATATGATCTTTGTTGACCGAAAGAGAAGTTATGCAACCTAAATAAAACCAGTCATGAGAACAAGCCACGATAAGTCAGCTGGAGCAGTGTTTGTGTGAGGTCAGGGTAACCACACCAAAATTACCTTTGCATGTAGGACCGCAGCAGGGTGATTCCCAGGAGAAAGTACATCATGATAGAGCACACCATCATGGCCAGCCCGAGGAGTATGGCCCGGTCTTCTCCAGCTTTTAGGGCTGTGACTGTTTTCCTTTTGTCCAGTAGATCGTGATCCCTGATTTTTTGGTAAATGTTTCTGAGGTTGAAAATAATACATTTTTATGTGAAATTCATTTAGTCAATGAATCCTCTTTAGGGTGGGCAGTTCCACCTCTATTCCCATCTTGTGGGAGGGAAAGACTTAAGGGTCCTCAGGTGTCCTTATTCAGTGGATTCACTCTGACCTGGTGGAAATTAATTCATCTCCAAAACAAATTACAGCCATTTCTGAAAAGGTAAAAACCTCTTATTGCAAATATAGATTAGACACTTGTGCCAGCTCAGTAGATCCTTCTTTGGTGCAGCTTCATTGTCTCAGAATATTTATGCTGTAGAAGAATTTGATTTCTCAGTGCCAATTTAGGGTACTATAACATATTTGGGTGCGTAAGGTGTCTTGTCTTCAGTCAAATATGGTAACAAGACTTATGTTACTGTATGCGGGATATAACTTGAAGAAAGTATCACTGACATTTTGTGATTTTGCTGAAGGGACAGCTTTCTTTTCTGATTCCCTACAGGTTAGTGGTTTGGGAAAAGTTCAGCCCTGATTGCAGCTCAAGGCTCATGAAACACTTTGGGGATTTTGCAGTTGATTTCTGTGGGTTTATTTGATTGGGAGCTTATTTGCTTTATTTAAAAAATATCTTTCTGGAAGCTCCGTTACTCATTACATTGAAAACTCTGGCAGAAAATTATTCACTAAAGCTATTTGTTCTGGGATTAAAAAAAGCAGATACAACAGACCATTCCCCTTCAGCAGAGTCCTTTCCATTTTCTAACCGTAAGTCCTCCTTTCATCTCTGAGCCTTTGATGATTCGATGGGTCATGAGGACACAATGGTGAAGAAGAAAATATTTGAGTACATTTCAAACACACTCAAACTTTGTGGGTTTAAAATGTACTTACAGACCTGAGGCTGGTCAAAATCTCCTGTGTTTTCTGTTACGGTTCTTTAGAATCATCCAGGCAGCACCCGAAGCATGAGAACCGCACACCTCTGAGCCCTGGCACCACCATAACTTGGACATGGTAGTACACGTGGAAGAGGTTCCTCTTCTACTGTCTGCAAAATGGCAGGTGAGCAACATCAACATCACTGCAAACCCTCCACTTCTTTAAGCTGAACCACCAACTTTCACTCAGCCTTGGAAAAAAGCACTGTGTGACGAAAGACCAACCGTATCACTTACATCCACCAAAAGGGACAAGGAACACAGTAGAGACAGATGGAAAATCATACATAAGCACAGTAAAAACAAGAAAAAAAAAATTCTTAATTACAAACTCCTTAAAAGTGGAATTGAACTTGTGTTTAGGTGATAAGTCATAGTCAAGCAAAGCACAGGTGGTGTGGGGTTTTACAGTAAAAATTGTGCTTAGATGCTACTGCCGTCAATGCTCCATAACTAAGACCTCTTGAGGTTTCTTCATCCTTCTGTAATTTACTCCTTTGGCTGTCTGTGGTTTCTCTTCCAAACCATCCTTTGAAGCTTGTCAGTGTTTTTCTAGTTGGGAATGAAATGGTAATTCTGCCTGTCAAAATTTTCCTTGGTGCTGGGGAGAAAAATGTATTGTGAAGTGGTGGATGCCATTGCCTTCAAACAAGTGACGTAGAGTAATAATCTGATGCTACTTTTTTATGATTATTTGTCAATCTGTGTTTAACTCTGAGAGCTGCTATTACAATTTGCATTGCTTTCAAATGGAAGCAGGCAGGAAGGCAGAAATTGTCGTGCAGTTCCAGAACATTACCCCATCACACAGCATAACTTATGTCAGCTTGTAGACATAAAACACAGAGCCGTCGCTCACCAGTGTCACTGGAGCAGCTAGGACATAAAAGGGATACAAATGGACAATTTAAAAACAGATAGCTAATTGAGAATGGTTGCAAATACTTCCTATGTGGCCTTGAGCCAAGAGTGTGAGTTAGAAAAAGATGGACTAAAGGGCAAGTAGAATATTTTGCTGCAGCAGGGCAGCCTGAGCATCACCTTAGCAGCTGTGTTACCCTGCCTGTGAGTTTGCAGCTGTGTGGAATGTGTTTTGAGAATGTTTGAATTTTTGGTACATATGAACTTTTGGACTGGGAGAGCTGGAGGGGTGCTGTGCTAAGCCGGCTGATGCTGCACCCCATGGCTGCCAGCACACAGATCACTGCTTATCTCACAAACTCTATCTAATAATTGTGATTACCTGTGGCAACTCCCCAAATATGATAGTGGTGTGGAAGTGGGTGTATTTTGTTTTTAAAGACGTCACAGCTGTCAAAACACAAAGTCTCTCCACCTCCTGTAAAAACATTTAATAGAAAGCAAACCTCCAAGGACAAAAGGTCTTTGCTTTCATCATCATTTTCAAGCTCCCCTTATCCTGTTCCCTTTGCCAAATTGTTCACAGGCTATGGGCTGGCTACTCTCCCCTGGTTCGGCTGCCAGAGAGGAAACCTTGGCTGTGGGGGACAGAACAGAGCAGTCCCTCTGTGGATGTGGCAGCAGAGTGGGTATCCCACTGCAGAGTGGTCAGCAGCTCTTTATGAGGCCATCAGTTGAAGGGAGAAGAGGGTGTGTGTTATGTTAGTCAGCCTGAATGCTGCAGCCAAGGAGAAATACAGTGCCTAATCACCTTCATAAAGAAGTTCCATACCTTCTGCAGAACTACTCACATTTGCTGCAGCCAAGACTTTTCTCTGCCATCATTGGGGACAGATATTTTAGTAGTAGCTAATGAGAAGGACAAGGCTTGTCACTTGCTTCCCACCTGCTCTGTGGGCTGCAGGGCTGTTGAGATTCCTGTCTGCTGGGAATATTCAGAGTGACTTTGAACCAACGTTTTCTTCTCTGATATCACAGTTATTATGCAGAAGTCATACTTCTGATATCTACTGATAGTGGAAGTCCTTGAAGAAAAAGGTCAAAAACCTCTCATATATTAACCACAGAATTTCTAGTGCTCAGGGGCTTTTCTACTCAGAATCCAATTTATTTACATTATTCCTTACTGGGAATGCTTTGTTGCATCAATTATTATTATCTGAAGTATTGCAAGAGAATATGTCCCTAGAACTTGTACATGAACCTCTGTGGTGGTTCCTATCACTAAGAATGGACTTCACTCAATTCCCTACCTTGTCACCTCCAAAAGAGGCCAAACTGAATTGTGCTTTGGTTTTCCAAGCTTATAGCATTCTGGAAAAAATAATGAACAGCTGAGAAGTAATGAGGTCTTGGCTAGGTTTCCAAAGCTTAAGAAGTGGCAGTTGGGGAGCAGCAGATTTCTCAAACATAGCAATGAATGCACTTCTTGGCCTTGGTCCTACCAAAGCAGATGCCCAAGAGACACTCCCTATCCTGGAGGAGGCAATTATCCCCCAGCAAGTGACCCACTGCTGCAGCAGACTGTTGTTTGCTGGCATAAGTTTGCTGCTCCAGCTGACAGCCTTTCAGTCTGAAGCTTAATGAGCACAGGATTCCTAGGAAAGGGTCATTTAGGGGATGTTATCTGTCTGAAATGTACTGACTGTATGACATGGTGCTGCTGCCAGTGACCTTATCCGTGCTAAAACTGCCATCAGACAGCAACGGGTGAGTTCCTCCCGTCGTGAGCACTTGTTCCGTGTTCACACCTCTCTTCTGCAGTCCTGAGGCTGCAGTCAGCACTCTCCTGTTCTCATTTTCTCTTCCTTCAATCCCTTCTGATGGCTTGAAAAGGTATCTGGAATTGCCACGGCTGGTGCATAGGGGTAGAGGAATAAAAGCCTGGGGAAAACTCAATCACAGAAGAGTCTTGCAGAAGTACAGGAGGCAGTTAGATGTCCAGCTCCAACTGAATGTCCATGGAAACCTGCTGCCAAGCTCAGGTCCTCAAAATACCTATTTGGGATTGGATTATCCAAAGAGCTGAGCACCCTTGTGGCATTTGCAGCAGAGTTCAGTGAATTAGCCAGTCCTCCAAAGAAACCCAACATCCCACGGGCAGCTCTAGTATCTGGACTCAAAACCCATTTTCCTAGGCAGATGCCAGTAATGTCTCATTAGAATAACTAACGAGTGTGTTTTGCTAATTGGCACTGTAGCTGCACTGACCTCTGGTTTTGTTTCACTTGAGTCTGACGTTTTGTGATTGCAGTTTAAATAGTGACTGCAAGGAGAGCTGAAGGAGAGGAGGCAAGGGAGAAAGGGGAAAGAAAGGAAGGGGAAATGTGTTTGGTGGTGACAAGATGAGCTGCCCAGCAAATCTCACTACAAAGCAAAGAGATTTTGGAAGGATGAACCTGAGCATTACTTACAATTGTTCTCTCAGCAATGATATTTAACTTCTCTCATTCCCAACTGAGTGCTGCCTTTGTAAAAAGCTCTCCTTCCCTTTCCTTCTCTTCTGTGTAATTCCCTGCCTGTGTGAGACTCAGTATTCCCCTGTCATCAGCCTATTTCCTGTAGCAGTACTGCTGAACTGGGCTGGACCAGAAGCCAGACACTTTTCCAGCTGTTTGCCATCACCCAGCTGTTGTGCAGTGTCATGCACATGTGGTTTCCATGTGTGCATGCATAGAAACAGGAAGCATCTCTGGCAGCTGGATGCACCACGTAGACATGTAAAAGGTATAGATGGCTGGAGGAGAGGTAGAGGTGGCTGGAAAAGAGGAGGCTGTGAGCTGTGCCTGGAGCAGGGCGTGTGTGTGCTGTGGGCAGGGAGCAGAACACCTGTGAAGGGCTTGGAGCCGTGGCTGCAAATCTGTACTGGGGGTAAGTGTGCTGTGTGCTGTGGTAACTTCAGAGCAGCCTTCAGAAAGCAGCTGGGGGGAGCAAAGGGCAAGGGGCTTTGTATCCCTCCTCCCTCCCCCAGTGCCACTGCTATAGAGCAGTGACAGGTCGTGGTCCTAGAGATTCCAAACCCATCAGAGACAATCACTATTGATGCTATTTACCTTTTCTCATCGTGTCTGTAAGATGTAGAGCTCCGGCCACTGGTCCAAATAAACATTTTAGAGGGTTGCCCAGTGTTGGCTTTGCTTGCTGCAGTGGGGCGATGGAAGGACCTAGGGAAGAGTGATAATTTTTGTCACTGCCCACCCAGTGCAGCAGACCAAGTTACACCCAGATCTGCCATGGCTGTGCCCAGGAGGATTATTTGATAAACTTGAGCTGAGATGTAAAGTAATGAGAATGACAAATTGGCAGAGGGAATGAAGGATACATTTTGTGTGCCCCCCTGGTAAAATATGTTCCACAGTGTGCAGGCTTTGCATCATCAACAAGAAATCATTGGCAATTTAAGAAAAGGTAATAGCTGCATCCAATGTTATGGCAGAATTTTGTTGGGAGAAAGTGGCTGTTGTTTAAGCAAATGCATGCTTATTGCAATTTATTGGCTATACAATGGCCCTCAGTGAGATGAGGTTTTCAGGAAAGGTGTCTGAATGAGGCAGAAGTATGAGACATAAATGCAGTGTTTTATGGAATTGTATCTGATGTGACAAAGATGTCTTTTCCCACAGAAAAATTTCTGTCCCAAAACCATTTGGCCAGATCGGGTAGAGCTTTCTCTGAAGCTAATGAAGTATGGTTTGCTTGATATTTCAACCTGGGCTTCAGGGATTTTTCTTCCAATATCACTTTTCAAGAGATTTCTCTAAAATCCCACAGAAGCAGCTCCTGCCTGGGGCTTCTGTGTTTCACAGGCGCGTGAGACAGGTGGTGCCTTCTCCAGTCTCAGGGATTTCATTTTAGCTTCAACCCTTTACTGCAATTAGATCTCATGAATGTGAAATACAGCACTGAATGGACCTCAGGAAGTATTTCTCTTTTGTCTGGACCTGCAGAACTGCCCTGATTTAAGGCGTATTTGCTATATGTAGTCCTAGAAGATTGTGGATACCCTGGATTAATTGAATATTAATAACTATCCTTACAGATTGCAGTTTCATTGCCAGGCTTTAAGAATAAATGATATGGATATTGCTGGTGGGGCTTCCACTCCCCTCACAACTTTCTCCAAATCTGCTCCTGAGTGCAGTGAAGTTGTCTATAATCTCCATATCTGGAAATTGGGCCATACAGATTCACTGTATTTCACATTACTTCTTTGCTTAGCACTTTGTGCTTTCAGGTCTTTCTGAGAAAAGTTTAAGAAAAAAATGAAATATGCGGGATATTGAATGCTTTAATGCAGGAGTTCATGCACTGGAACTCATTGAAAAATACATCGAGTTGCTGATGCTGCCATCAGAGAATGCACTTGAACACCTCAGTGCTCCTTTCCTGGAAAAGTCTGTTATGTCACTATCTACGTAAACACGGTAATTTCAATATTTGCATAGTGATGAACCTGGGAGAATACTGAAATCCAGCTGAGATGGCTGCAGGGAAAGACAGGCATGGCTGGGAGCCAAAATCCATGTGTACGCAGATGGGCTGCTGGGTGACATAGCTGAGTACTATCTGGCATGGCTTTGTGCTGCGTTCATGCACAGTAAATTGGACAAGAAAGTGGCTCCAAAGAAGGGAGACAATGGAAATGGTCTCTTCTCTGGTCTTTTCCTCATGTACATGGTCATCGCTGCAGGTCTGTGTGCCAGTAAAACCTCTTTTCTTTCTTACAACCACAGTAGGTAAGTACTGGGAAATCAACAATAAGAAGTCCTTCCTTCCTGTAATAACTGTAGTTTAGAAGGTGAAATAGCATCTATCAGCCAGCAGCTAAGAAGTGTTTTTATAGTGATCGCAGACATAAATTTGTGTTGTAAGACCTTGGGTCTAACCCTACTCTGGTATTTCTGCACTGAGCAATTCAGGAGAGTGCAGAGCAGCTACCTGAGGCCCTGGAGGCCATGAGGGGTGCTGGACTGAGACCTCTGCCAGGCTCAGCCCCCGGGCTCCTTAGTGCTGGAAAATAAAATTACGTTTGTATTTACCACTGCTGCCTCAAGGGTACAGGATGGAAAGCCTGGCTGGCTGGGCTACTATGTCCTGATTGCTCCCAGAGATGGCAGTAAATGCTATCAGAGAGTCTGTTCCTAATTAGGAAAACTCCGGGCACTTGTTAGAAGTGATCAGCAGCTTCTACTGCCTGCTTGAGTCAGCAGAGCTTCCTGGGCAAGGAATAGACCCACAAGCTCCAGAACACATCACATGAGAACCAGAGGGTGATGGCTGGGCAGTGAGGGGCTGCCCCACTGGGGTGATGCCAGAGAGGAAGAGAGGTGTCCTTTCTCCTCTAACATCAGAGGGATTTCAGAGTATCTCATGGCGCCGGTGCCTAGAAGCAGACCATATGTGATGGCATTAATGCTGCCTGCTTCATTAGCTGGGCAATCCAAGCTAACGGTCACTGTTTAACACACAATTGCACACTTAATCTTGTGTAAAATCCTAACTCTGATGACATCATGGAAGCTACTCCAGAAGTCAGATGGAAGTCACTAAATTTGTATCTTCTTTAGGCAGAGGTTAGCTCTACGGTGCAACATCTGCTGTTTCGTACTCACAGCTATGCAGTTAACTGCTAAGCTGAGGTTCTCCTGTCTGCATCCAGAGATGATCCTGGGGAGTTTGCTAGTCCTGGTATGGAAATAACCTAAGAGCCAGAATCAGAACAAAAACAGAACCTGAAACATCCAGCTCCCCTGTATGGCCCATTGCAACATGAAGGGGTAGATGGAAGTAGGGTTGCACCAGGAAGAGGTTGAGGAAAAATCCAGTGGGGTGGTTAAAGTTGAGCAGATCAGCACCAAACTGGCAATTCCCATGTTGTGACACTATTCATGGGGCAATGTTTCCTCAAAATACTTCTTTTCCCTGTGGGGCTCCATCTGAGCCCAGTGCTTGCTTGCCTGAATTCCACCTGTCTGTGGCCAGAGCAGAAGAACAGCCAGCATGGACTAAGAGGAAAAGCAATAAGTTAACTTATAAAAGAAATGCATTCACATTAGTGGAAGACAGTTACCACTTAGGGAACATTTAACGCCCTGCCAGCAGCAACACTAAATCGTGAAGCAGCAACAGCGATATCAAACGGTGTATTTCTGCCTCGTGACCAGACCTTGCTGTACTGTGAGCTAATGAGCACAGTGTGGGACAGAATGACATAAATAACTGTTCTTGTTGGAGTATCCCAGGAGCTCCGGCTGCACTCAGTGACTAATCCAGCCAGCAAACGACCTTGAATTTGGGGTTCCTCATTACAGCAAGGGAAAACTGGACAATGGGGAGCTGGCGTTAACGTACTAATGAGTTCAGGAAGACTGATCGCTAATGATGCTGCATTAATGATTTCACCTCTATTTCTGGCCTTTCTCCTAAATATCCCTTGAGCTGAGGCTGAACATCCCACCTGGTTTTTGAGTTAAAGGAGGGTCATGCCTGGGACTGATCTCACTGTACTCCACTGGCACAAACATGGCTAAGATGCTCCATGTCCCAAGGAGAAAGATGAGACTGCTAGATACGACTGAAGCCATCACATGGGGTGTAACTTAGCTATGTGCAGAATACAGGGGCTTATGGTTTTGTTTTCAAAGACAAACTCCTTTTAACTTCAGGTCATCCCTTATAATTATTAAATCCCTCTGCCCAGTATTACACATTAGTCAAAGGGATGTTCAGAAAATTTGAGTCATACTTCTTCACTACATGATGACATCCAGTATGTACTCACTTCAAAATTAAATATTCCAAGGTAGCCTCTAAATCATCCAGATTTGCATGCCATGATCTTTTTTTCTCCAGTACTGATTTTATGTTTTGTGGAAAAAACCTCAAGCCTTATTATTCAATTATTCCTTTAAGCCCTCAGCTTCTTTCCCACCTGGCTCCAAGAGCTATCTGCCTGTTATGAGTCTAGGTAGTCCACACAGCACAGATGCAGACTTCATAGTCTATACTTCTCTTCATTCTTTTTCCCCAAAGTCTCTTCCTGTCCATTTCTATCTCCATGATAACTTGTTTCTCTCATCCCAGTGCAGTGAATTCTGACTTAGCTGATCAAAATGACTTTTTGAAGAAATTCTTGCATACACAGGTCAGCCACAAGAGAGGGATCTGCTGCTTGGTACTGCAAATAAGAGAGTCGCATCCTCTCTTCTTTGGTGACCTTCTGGGCCACCTCCAAGAGCTCTGAGAATGTGGCTCAGCTCCCTCATTCACCCAATGTGCCAGTCCTCCTGCTCTACCTGGCAGAGGACAACACCAGCATGCCACCTTCAGCTGGCAGAGTGAAAAAACCAGCCCCACTACTCCCATGTTTTGGTGCTGCTGGGTTTGTAATCTAAGCACGAGGCAATGCCTTTCTTGGCACATTGCAGTTGCTGGGGATAATTGTCCCCTTTGCCTGTCAAGACTCTGCAGACATTTTTAGCTTTTTGTGCTTTGTCAGTTGTAGATTAATTTGAATCTGCGTAGAAAGCGACATGTTGGACGAGTACTGTAGCATCTCTGCTGTTCCTGGGGTTCAGAGATCACCTGTAACATGGGCTGGCTTTGGGAGGGTGTGCAGCAAGGTCAAGTGCTGGGTCACAAACCCCATGTTGGAGAGCAGAGGCGATGGCAGGTCCCATCAGCAGGGACGTCTCCTCCAGCTCTGTGCAGCTATGCCTCAGTGTCACACTCTTCCAGAAAAAAATCTGATCTGAGAAGTGGTTTTTAAACATCCCTGAAGAGATGTTTCATTTGAGGAAAGCAGCACTAAAACCCTGTTAAAACCCTCCCTATGTGGGAACACAAAGAGGGGGTGACAGAGAGGGCACCAGCTGCCACAAAGGAGGAGTGGGTTGGAGAGTTCTGTGGTTTGCAGAGGGGTGAAGGCAGGGAGAGATGAATAACCATGAGGCAGCACCCCAAGGAAAAGCAGAAGCAGCTGGAGCAGATAGGGCAAGAGTGGCTTTTCTCCCATCTAAATCCTTGAGTGGCTCAATCGTTTTTATCTCCTTTGAGTACGACCCTGTGCCATCGAGAGCACCAGTCAGAACAAAACCAAGGCAGAGGCAATGCTGAAAGAACGGCCCAGCGGGAGCTGAATGCTCTGGCACTATTTATTTTTGAGTCCAC